TTAAGAAGGGAATATCAGCAAGGCTAGCAGGAAACACACCGAGCCTCCTTCGTCGGGTTATTCCGCCTCTCCTGCTTTACTCCCATCTAACTAAGGGAATGGATTTGCAGGGTTGAAAAGCCAACCGGCACTGTGGCTATTGTTCCGGATCTGAAACCCTGCTGATTTTGCAAAAGTGAGACAGAGGCAACGGTCAGCTTTGGCTGCTGAGCGTTCAGTCAAGAGAATTCTGGAAGGCAGGCCTTCTGCTGCCTGAAACATCTCATAGCATCATCGATCCATGTTCTGTGGGGCTTGTCGGGCGCCTCTGCAGAAGCCTATTCAGCATTCTGACCAAGGCTTCCCCACCAGCACAAAGCCGTGTCTTCGTCCTGATAAACCCCTTTTATTTAATTTACAGTGAATTCCTCTCCAGCAAAGTTTCCTCTCCCACAGTCTTTCAAGATAGTTCACAATTACTGACCTTTTTCAGGCTTGGAGAGCGGCCAGGCCGATATCTTTCAGATGCCCCAATACTTGGCAAGAATGCAGGAATGAACTAATTGTCTCCTGCAAACTCCACTCCCCTTTCGCTCCTCTTTTATTTCCTCTGGGAGGGGCCATTTACCACCCACCTGTGGCCTTACTCCCAAGTCAACCCCTGTTCCTTAGCTGTTCCCGTTTTCTGGCAATTCTGCACATACACACAGTGGGAACAGGCTCCAGCTGTTCGTCTGCCTCACTGATGTCTGACTCCGAAGGCAGCTGATAACTGTTAGACAGCCATGGCCCCCTCTCTGCCTCCGACACAGAGCCCTTGTCAGATCCTTCCCCAGAGTCCAGGACTGGCCCATGTTCCTCCCCAACCTCCTCACTGCTGCCAGCTCTGCTGGCCACTGGTGGGCCACAACTCTCAGCTTTACGCTTTTGGCTTTGAAAAAAATCTCAATTTTGCAGAAGCGCAGATATCTGTGAGGTCCTTGGTGCTTCCTGAGCATGGTGGTTTTCTAGCAGACGTTTCTTTCCCAAACTAGGTAACATCAGCACTGATGAAATTACCTAGTTGGGTAGTGAAATGTCTGCAAGAAAGCCACCAACCTCAGAGAGCACCAGGGACCCCACAGTTCAACCTAGGGCTTCAAATATTCTCTTCTTTTGGTAGATACGTGTGTAGTACATTCTGACCCAAAGGAACATTGAACATTTCTGCATTTTTCTTAGGTACCAACTGCTGACCATGTCGTCAGATGGTCCGGATTCCCGTGTGGCAGAGCAGAAACCTTTAGTAGACAAAGAAGAGGTAAGTTGTGCTCTCTGTGAGCCTGGTTGTTCTCTTGCAGACGTTTCGTTACCCAACTAATTAACATCGTCAGTGCCAGAAGGAAGCGGGGTTTGCTGTCAGCTTAAGAGATAAGTTTGCATAACCGCACCAGAAAGACTGCCAAATCTTCCAGACTCTCAAATCACAGATCCTCCCCAGTACTCGCTCGGGATCTGCAAATGATAAGAATCATAAGATTTCCACTTATGGGAGTGTTGTTGGAAGAAATGTCCTTCTGGGTTCAGTTCCAAGTGGGGGAAAAGACACTGGAAACATGGAGGCTGCTTGGAAAGATGATTTAATGGTGGACTGTCTCCCAGGCTTGCTTAACTTGCTGGGTGATGTAATTTTCCCAGGTGCCTTGTGGTGAGTTTCTGTTTGCTAGAGGAAGGGGGGGTAGATCTTTGTTATGTAAAATAGACTGGCTCAGGCCTTAATGGCCCATTGAGAAAGATGGGGGAGGGGAGCTGAGTTTCTTCATCCCATTTAGAGGAAATATTCTGCCCTTTAATATTTCCCAAAATATTTCATTTCTCTCGGAGCGGGGTGGGTTTTAACTTCCAACAGGAGGAATGATGACGTGAATAGCACCTGTATTCACCAGGGCAGTCATTAACGTATTTCTGGATCGGATCCAGGCTGTTTTTATTTAGGGTCACTCAATGGGCTTTCCGATGACCCCTGCAACTTCTGCCCCATTGGTTTGGCGAGATCCTCTCTAAACTCGACAACATCTCAGAAATCCTGTTTCATTAAACTTACATAAAGGGGGCAAAGCTAATAAATCTCCACAGCGTTTATTTCAGAAATGAAAATCTTTGGCGCTTTCGATCTTGTAACCCTCTTGTAACTTTTCTTTTCTAGGCCATCACTCGTCTCCTTCCTGATATCGATGTCGACATTCAAGTAAGTGTGGTAGAACAGACTTTACCTTGGTTAAATATTGCCATAGGCATCTAAGGAAATATAGTCGATTCTCTTCAGGTGGTCCAGTGGGGACAGCCGCTAGCTATAATATCAGTTATAACATGAATGATTCACAGAAGCACTTAAGAGAAAAGGGTTTTTTGGAAAAGCAAATTTCTGATTAAAGTTGGCAGCTGAAGAAGTTACCAAGTTTGTCGTGTGCTTTTTCAAATGTTTGTATTTACTCTGGCTTCTGTGTTGTTTTCCAAAGCCTTCAAATCCTCAGAAATAGCGATAGATAAGATACACTATATTGCCAAAAGGATTCGCTCACAACTGAGTGTGATTATGTGGATGGGTAAGCGAATACATTTGGCAATATAGTGTAGGTAGGTAGGTAGGTAGGTAGGTAGGTAGGTAGGTAGGTAGGTAGGTAGGTAGGTAGGTAG